GGCCATTTTGATAACTGCCGAGTGATAACATTAAGCGATGAGGAAACCTGTCTTTCCAAACAAATATCAGTAGTTTAATATGAATACTAGAGCTCTCTATTTATCAGTGGAAACACATAAATAGAGAGCATTTTAAGCAATTTTAAGCAATTTTCTCTCAAATAAATTGCGAATATAAATGAACTTTGTGTTCCAAGACAAAATAGCAGTCATCTACTTTGTTTGGAGAAGGTTCACCGTGGCCATAGAAATTTCCATTTTAGAAATCTTAAGTAAAGATCAAGTTGACGATACTTTTTTATAAGAAAAATAGAATTCACAGGGAATTTGTTCCTCAGAAACTCATCTTTGATTTTATAATTTTTAAAGACGTAATAAACGTACCTCTGAAAGAAAATTAAACACTTTGCTTGAAAACTCTAAATGAAACAACTTGTTTTTATTGCATGAAAATCGTTTGTTTGGGTTTATTTGATTATGGCAAAGCACTCGAAGGTTGTCCGCTTAAATGGAGAGATCCCTTCGTGGAGAGCGGTATAAGCTGAATTGGTGTATTTAATTATGGCAAAACACACGAGGGCTATCTGCCTAAGGGGACGGATGCCTTCGTGGAGGATTTCTAAGAGAAACTGGCTCGTATACACGTTACACAGGGGGAAAACCATGAAAACTCCCATGCAGCCAGCCCGTTCGCGGTATTTAAACCGCGGACCGAACTACCAGTGTTCAGCGACACTTTACCGACTGGCTCGTAAACACGTTTCCAAATGGTAAAAACGACGAAAACGCCCATGAAGCCATCCCGTTTGCAAGACTCGAACTACCAGTGTTCGAACCTACCAGCGTTCCGAACTACCAGGACAAAACTACCAGTGTTCAACTAATTGACGCGCGACCGCTGGTGGGCCCATACACGAAAATGGGCCAACAGAAAATTCTATTTTTTAAGCAATTTCGAGCAAAGAAAGCTAAAAATAAATTTCAACAACCCGTTCTTATTCATCAGATTTCTTACCTAAATATTCGAGTTTTGGATAAATGGAGTCCGTATGCTTTGAATTCTCCTTTATTAAACATTCTGAATAATTCAAAATCTTTCTGCTTTGCTGAAGTCATAAGTAGAATGTACGGCTAATTTTAAGCGATGTGAAAGAAATAATGTAACTGTATTTTCTCATGTCTTTCAAAAGCTGAACGTTAAATTACTAATTAAAAATTCCATTAATAAAATTTACACATCAAACAAAATTAATTATTTAGGAGTAGCAAGCGAAAACAAGTATTGGCATTGCACGAAAGCTATAATTTACGTTCAGACAGTACTGGTGTACGGAAGTAATTAAGGCATTTTTCTAAGACATGAAATGCCATTGAGGATAGTTTTATACTTCAGATTAGATTGAAAGTTTTATTTGGTTGTTTCTTTTAGTGAAATATATATATTATTTACGTGAAAAGAAAACTGCAAAAGTTTAAACATTGAGATATTAATTAGAGAAGAAATGAAGCTGTGAAAGAGAGAATTTAGACTGCTACTAAATCAGAAAATTGAAAATTCGAAAAAAAAAAATGAAAACTTGAGCAATTAATAATTACGGGTATGAAGATTTAGCCAATTTTATATGATATCGTACTAAACCTCTTTACATATTTTGACAATTTTAATGATGTATAAATGTAAGGAAAATAAATATTTATAGTAAATTTCTTGCATATAATTTATCTTGCATCTAATATCTACAATATTCTAGCAAAGAAATGTGATTTGTATTTTAACTGACTGCTGTAATTGTGAAAGATTATTTCAATGTAAAAGGTGATTGCAACTGAATTTTAATAAGAGCACCTCGTATAAATAAAGTTAAACATAAATAATAAAACATCTTAAAATATTGCAGAGTTTTATAGCCAGGTTCCGGTTTAAGGCCTTAAAGTGATATTCGACACAAAATGGAAACAAAAAGAAAGTTGCTGCCATAAAAAGCTCACTGAGTTGTAATACTTGCGCGAACAGTTTTATGCATCACCTCTGTATGAAACTCGTAGCTTATGATTTCTCGATGAAATCCAGAAAAAAACAGGTAAGCATAATTATTCTAGCAGCTAATGGCAGTGACAATAAATTATAACTGCATGAGCTCTTCTTTCAAATATCGCGGAAAACAGAGGTCTTTATCAATACCTCCCTATTTTGCCAAGAAGCAAACGTTTCTTTAGTACCGAGCGCGAAGTTTATGCATAGTGTGAACAATGACGACTACTTTGAGATGTGAAAATGTAATAAATGTGTAAGTTTTTTATCCCCCTCATCTAATGTCTTCATGGCGTATTTAGGATGCACTTCCAGCTAATAATCAGATGGTCCGGTGTTTGAAACAGGGTAAGAACGCTGTACGTTTTTCACGTCTTCTGCTTCGAAATAAAATGAGCAGTTGTCTCGTTGTTTCTGCATAAGTTATCACTTAGAAAATTTGTTAAAGTTTATTTATAAAACATTTCAAATTTCCTAAAATAATTAGTTATTTTATAAACTTTTTTTCGATTTATTGCCAGCGTCCGAGCGGTAAAGTCGTCGAACACTGGTAGTTCGGTCCGAAGTTCGAATCCCGCGAATGGGCTGGCTGCATGGTCCTCCCCGAAGGCATCCCTCCCCTTAGGCAGATAGCCCTCGAGGCTTTGCCATAATCACACACACACTTTTCGCTTTATTGTTGCGACCGTCTAAATTAGCTTTAGGACCAAAATGTTGACAAATTTAATAACGCCTTGCTGTTCAATATGCACCTGCATTGTGTCGATTACATTTAGAAAGTTTATGTGCTATTCTCTTCTGCCAACGTTCGCTATATTTTCAAGTCTCCCACTATAGCTCATTAAAAACTAAGTCACCAGACACTTTTCAGTAGTGTTGTACCGTACAGAATTGAAGCTACCAATACCATGTGGTAACTTTTGATTTCTGTTGAGGATCTCATAAAATGCTTTCTTTTTCTCCCCGTAATTTGTGGTACCTTATTTACTTCCATATTCTCCTACACACTTGTGCTTAGCACAAGGTTCTGAAACGTTTCAAGCAATCGCGTTATTTTGCTTTACGTTATTTATCTTCATGTTATTTATCTTCTGTCTCACAAATTCATTTGCTCGTGAACAACTTCAAGATAAAGGATATCTATAATGGTCTTTGTAGATCTGAAAATCATTGCACATGGAAAGACTGACAGAACGATAATGAAGACAATCACATCGGTGACGTTGGCAACGACTGCAAAATGTGGCAGAAGACTCAGACTAATTAATTTAGCAGCGGACAGCAACGAGAGCGTAGGAGATTCAGGATACAAGAAAGTATATATGAAGATATAATGTTAGATAGTGTTGTGGAGTCATTAAGTTTTTTGATGCTGGAGACGGAAAAAATATGCAGTGCCTTCGCCAGGACTCAAACCCTGGACCTCTCGAATACACGTCGAGTAAGCTTTCAATTAAACCACGGAAGCAAAAAATAAGGGAGGTCATACCTTACAGTGTAATGATAATATTATATGGATTACTATTGGAATGCAGGTTTCTTTTAAACAAATAATATTGGGTCAGCACCGCTAGTTTCATCATGAATACTATTTATTTGTTTTATTCTTACTGTAAACGCATCCTTTGGAAATCACATTATTCGCATAATTTTCCACTCTTGATTTTCATACGATAAAATTAGCAAAAAAGAGCGAAATATGATATTTAAAATGGTTCTATGAATATCAGGAACGCATAAACGCATAAGTCATGAATGGACAAAATAATACATTATATTTTCAATGTTAACACTTGCGACTTAGATAGAAAGCTCCAACGCAGGCCTTGGTTAACTGTGAAGGTTTGAGGGCTGCGTTAGCTAGAGGGCTACGCTGAAGAGGTGAAGGGATAACGTTATCACTATAGCAGCCATACAGTCACCAGCCGCTCGATCTGTTTGTACAATATACTCGATAAACATTTATGAATCATAAGAAACCTGAAGCATTATTCGTCACAAGTTCGCCATGGATGATAGAAAAAAACAGTATTAAACTTTATAATCAAGTTTGGTGTTGTAGAGACATTAGGTATCTTTTGGAAGCAGGCAAGATTAAAAATTAGGAACCTTCTTCGACGGAAATCGAACCACGGACTTCTGGAATACCGGTCCAAGGTACAGACACACTACACCACGAAGGAACGCTAGGAAAGCTAGGAAATAGTGTTTCTTATTTAAATTTCTAAAAGAAATTTTCAGTAAACATATATTATATAGAGTGCTAATGTAATATGTAAATGAATATGAGAAGCTATTATTCAATAAATCATCGAACAAGAAACAAGTAGGAAAACATGTTTACATGTTACATGAACATATTATGAATTTGAGAATCTAATCAAATGTTAATGAATGGAAACTTTATAGCCCTTGTTTATATATGATGTTCGATCATGTGCATGTGATTGAAATGAGATCTATTAGAGGACCTAGCTGTTTTATGGGTCAATATTAAAATACATTTTCCTAACTGTGTTATCGTTTATAGCAAATTTGAAATTTGTTGGCACCGAGTTTCTAATTTCATTCGCAAAAGACTTCTCTATGGCATATCTTATGTGAAAGTTAATTTTGTGGATATAGAATTAATGCTATTTTTGAGGAGTTTATAAACCCTTGTAAAATCTTCCTAATTTAAAAATTAGGAGAGATGAATAAATTCAAGTCTAAGCAGTAACCAAATTGAACATGAAACATTTTATGTTAGAGAAATATACAATTGCAACATAAAATAAGAATCGCTAATGTACATGAAAATTGTAATATTCACGTTTTGCTAAAAAGGTTAATTACGTCTAAGGAGTATTTTAAGAATATCTTTTAGGCTTCTGCGATATAATTGGGTGAAAACAAAGCTATATTTTTCACATATGTAAAACACATAAATAAGATATATAGGAACTAAATTTCAGATGTATTTTCTTACCTTGTGAAGCATAAGCGTTAAGAGTTGATGTAAGCATTGTGGGCAAATATGGAGGTTCGGATTCGCATTCGCTTTCTAGATACCCCAGTCGAGCTCGACGTCCGAGTGTTTCCATAGGGTGCATGGAATTCATATTCCTAGGGGGTACAGCTGGAGGTGCTGGCTCAGGCGGACTTTCACCAAACACTGAAAGAAAAAATTACGTTAGGGATTGCATTTTCAAAGGGATATTTTTATAATAGTATAATTGAATGAATACAGTGTTTTCATTAAATAAGAGATCCTAGGTCGCAACAAAAGTTTTATCTGAAGTTTCTTTAAGATGTTTAGTAATACTAGTAATCAATAAAACTCTAAACAAAAATTAGTGTATAGGGATTCCAATATGCACAAACACTCATATCTTGACTTGCTGAAAGAAAAAAAAAAGAATCTGAAACTCTGAAGTTGATAATTTAAGTAGAATGGAAATTTATTTTAACCCATATGATTTACATAGCAGGTCATTTTAAAAGATCGGGTGCCGGTAGTATTGTAATTGAATAGTATTAATCAATGTTATGCAATATATCAAAAAGAAAAATATAATAAAAGTATTTCCTTAATACTTAATACATACTTTCTATTATTTTCAAAAAACGTAGTAAAACAAAATTGCATGTCAAGGTTATGACACTCTACAAGTGCACAAAAGAAAATACCAAAATTGATGAAACCCTGCATTTTATACTGAAATTTCTGCACCCCTGCGAGCCAAAAGATGGTTATGCTACCTAGTTATGCAACGTGAATGCGCAGGAACACCGCCAGTTTATATTCTACCGATTTTTGAATTGATGGTTTTAGCGTTACACCACTGGGAGCGAAAATGTTAAGAAGTAATTAGGGATAAGTAGCAGCAAACCTAAGTGATAAAAATTAGATTTATTAAAAAATTGCTTATTTAAGTTACATTTTCTTTAATAACAATTTTAATTTAATTTCAGTGAGGATTTTTCTAAATACCACCAAGGCTTATAATCAAGCATTGGATATTGTACATCTAATATTTTAAAACGCTATTTTTAGCACTAAAAATAGACTTTATTTTTAAAGAAATAGCATTCCAAGGATTTGTCTGGTATTCGAAAGTGAGATTCTTCAGCATTAATACGAGCAAAAGCAGATCAGATAAAAACAAAAACATAACTTGCATGTTTTTCTCGTGTGAATCTAAGATTGGATGACAGAGTACTTGGGATCTTTTCAGTGTAAAAAAAAAAAAGCTTTCCTTTCAGGTAAGTTTTGGTTCTGGGAAGAAAGGATAATAACAGGAGCCCAGATTTGGAGAATTGGGAGGATCGCTGAGTATACTGATTTTTATGAGTTAGAACACATGTGTACATTCTTACCAGTGTATACTTACTTTGTTTCTTGGCAAAATTGGTTCCGACTGAATGATATAAAATCCTAAAATCTCACAATTAAACACCGACTTCTTGGTTAAGGGTTAAAAATTACTTTTGAAACTGCAATGTAGTTTTGATCTGTCTGATTTATTTGTACACATTCTGAGTAACCAAGTACTTGGGCTGCGCTTTGAGCAATTAAAATGCTCCAAAACATTTTACACTTAAAAAGGAATAATTTACATTTTTTTTTCAAAAGGAAGGGAGGAAGCATTTTTTTTCCTTTCAGTGGTAAAGCAGCCACGAAAACGTCTTAGTTGGTCGTCTGAAATATTTGGATGTGTGATACAAGCCTTAATATACAAAAATATTGAATCAATGTTTGAAAACCCTGGAAAGTATAAAATGTTTAATTTAATCATTATTTGTTTCAGAACTAAGAATGGCAGAGATTTGTAAAGAAATTTAAAATAAAATCCTATGTTTTAAGATTTTAATTTTGGAACACAGTAAAACGTTAGTTATATATATTTAAAATTTTGAATTTTATGATTTCAGTAATAAAATCAATAAGAAGTTATTTGCCTCATAATTATAATCTCATGTTATGATCTGTAATTTGCGAACATTTTTCGTGTTTGATTCCAGATATTATGTGATGAATGAGAGAGCATAAAGGCAGGAATTTCATACTTTAGTTATTGTTTAGTTATTTTGTTGTTACTTCAGTTATGATTTCCAGCGTTAGCAGTGACATCATCATCTTCATTAACGAATTGGGAGCTCACTATGGTACAGCTAACTATGGTAATTTCGGATTGTATTGTCTGAATAAACCAAATTATTGTAAACCCGAATTCTAATTGTCTCTAGAAGACATGAAGGTGTTAGCACAATATTTTGCATTTAATAAAAAAAATTCCATTAGTCCTAATCTATTTTATCATCAAGTGTTAAATCTACAGGAATTTTTGCCAGTTCGTAATTTTAGAAATAACAAAAATATATATTTGACAGAACATTAATTTCAGAAGTGGAAGTTTAATATATTATACTTAATGCATTTCCCATTCATTGTTTTCCCTCTGTTGATGAATAATTTGCATCTTAAAACAATACACTGACAAATGGTTATAAAAATCTGCGTTTATTCTTCTCTCTATTCATTTTAAAACACCAACACATCTTAGTTTATGTAAATGATCATCTCATGAAAGCCATTAGGCTCTTCCGCATTACATTTACCTATGAACCATAACCTATCAAGCAGAATAAACATTTTAACTGAATAAACATTTTGTTTTCTCTTAACGTTTAGAAAAACATCGGCTTCGATGTTTGCGGAGAGAAACCAGTTAAGGAATCTTTAAAACTCGTAGAAAGTTTAGCGCCTACAGCTAGAACAAATAACGCCGGTAAATTCCCACTGGGTGTGAAACTCTGAACGGAAATTTTAATGGAATAAATGAACCGTTAAGATTCTTCAGCATCCTGGGTTGTCGAGGGATCAACTCACAACTCTGGCTCTCTTTTCCTCAACTCTGAAAAGTGCTAAAGTACAACAGCGCCTGTTATCACCAGATATGCTGTTTTTGAATCTATGCAGAGCCACTCAAATTTGAGGATTTTCTTTTGAATGTAATCTAAACTGCTCTTTATACTTAATTTTTAAGAGTTCTTCATAAATTACATTTAACCTTTTGATTGAAAATATATATTTAAACGACTTCATTTATTTTTCTATGCCTTGAACTGGGTTTCGAAGGACTACCTCTCGGTATGTACTAATGTACAATACAAATAGTTTATTACATTTATAATGACTGATTTTCACATTTGCTTTTAGGATAACTTTCAGAAGTGCTTTAATAAAATATCAACGATCGTTTGTGGCATTTCACATATCAGATAAATTATTTTCGAATGAATGTGCTTTAGAGCAACAGAACCTATTATATGGCTTGAAAAAGTATATTTGGTTTATTTTGATAATCAAAGATGATTTAAATGCCATATACAGACATTCCGCATAGAATCCAGAAATCCAGTAAGTGATAATATTACGTAAACAGTGAAAAAATAAAGGGCAAATGTTATACTATACATTACTTTATAGAAGAATTGGGTTTATTTTGCAGCAGGAAACAAGTAAAATGAGCAATGCCCCAGTTAAAAATCGTTACACAGGTAAGCAAAGAACCCACTACAGGAGAGTATTACGCAAATAGTCGAAAACACAATACGCTGTTACTTCAGAAGCTTTCCAGTCGGTATAGGGTTTCCTGATGCTGACTGAAGTATCGATGATTCTAGGTTCGAATCCCGGAGAACGTATGCACGTTTGAAAGTGCATAGTGTCTGTGTTGTAAGGAGTAACTCAAAATACACGCGAGTTTAAAGTTCTGTCTAGACCTAGAGGTTGGTGTCATACCTTGATTCTCTTCCCTCTGCCGGGTGTTTTCTTCAAAATTGGAGCAGAAGCTTAACAATTAGCTAGGTTCAGCAATACCTCAACTAACTCTGATATTGCATAGGTTCTGACATAGCTTGATCTGTGCCTGTGTTACTTTGTAGAGTCATACAAAAACCTAGCATATGACAGTATAACGCAGATAGTTGAAAACATTATAAGGAGGTGTTATGCTGTGTTTCCCTTGAGAATCATTAGGTTTATTTCGGAGCAGGAAAAATTAAAAATCAACAGTTCTTTGGTTGGGATTCGAAACTCTGAATTTCTAGGCTGCCAAATGGGCGTACGTTTAATGACATCCCGAAGGCATGCGGTAAGGAAGAGAAAAATCAATTGCATAATTTCCCAGTTAAAAGGCAAATGACCCAGTCTCTAATAATTGGTTGGGTCGAAATATCGTCTACTGTATTTCAGTTTGGCTCTGCAGCGATTAAGTTTTTATCCGAGAAGCAAACATGAAAATAGACCAATAGCCTTTGCCGGAAATCGAACATCCCAATTTCCAGACCGATATGCTTCCAATTACGCGGCTTGGGCACGTAGTAAGAGGGAGAAAAATCTTCTCACTCTTTCTGCCTTATTTCTGCTTAGTGCATTTTTACTTATAGTACTAAGCAGGTACTATAAGTAAAAATTCATTAAACAGGTACTATAAGTAAAAATGTACTAGTAAGTACCTATATGCACCGGGTGGTCATACAAGAATTGTAAGAAATATCTCCAGGAAGACTAAGCAATACCGATAGAGCTTTCACGATTACGTTGTAATGAAGGATTCAGGTCTACGATTATTCGAAACTTTCCTGAAGCAGCACCATAGTTTTCTGCACTGTATTATGTCAAGCATGGCGGAAACAATCCACTTACTTTAATTAACGTATTCTCTGGCGTATTCCTTCTTTTTTTTTCCGTTCGAAATTGCCGTTCGTAATTTTACCGTTCGAAAAGCAAAAGCGGGAAAATTACACGAATAATTTTATTTCCGATAAAAGCGATTACAGTAAGAACATAAGAAATGAAAAGTAGTCACGGATAAATAACATGTTACTATCACAATATTATTTCTTTAAAATAAACTTACACTGTAATAAGATTACATAGTAATATTAATATTACATTATCTAAAAAGACATCTTCCTTTCTACTTCCTTGTAACTTGAATCTCACCGTCTTAATAGCCATTTCTGCTACATCTTTGGTGTCAGATAATTCATAAAAAACTCGAAAAGGCTAAAGTGCAGCTGAATCAGCGAAATCGTAGACTGATTGTCACACTGTTTTCTCTGATGTGATCAGTTGGTCTTGTAAAGGGCTCGCAAAAAATTCAA